AGAACCTTGGCAGGGGGAGGAGAAGCTCAGAGCTGGGGCTGAGACTGGTGCATGGCTCAGGTGGTAGTTCCACCTCATATCTGTGGGCCTCAGTGACCAGGGGTGGGTGGAGGGGGCGAGGGTCTTGGGAAAACAGGGGGATAGGCAGGAGGGGGGAGCTGGAAGGGTGTCAGGCATGGCAGGAGGGCAGGGGCAGGAGTTGGGTACGCCATGATCTCCTGGATAGTGGCACAGCTGCTGTGGCCCTGCTGAAGCTGCTTGGTCCACATCTGGGCCTGCCCTTGTGCATTGTCCAGGATCTCATGGGCCAGGGGCTGCTGCCTGTGACTGAGGATGGACACGTGGTCACTCATTAGGTCCTCATGCACCCTCCAATGCCTGCTGCTCCCCTGGGGTCAGGCGACTTGCTCAGAAGCTGGTGATCACCACACAGTCACAGCTGGTCTGGCTGGGGAGGCTAAAGAGAGGTGTTCAGTTATCCCTGGAGACACTGTCCCTGAGGCCTTGCCCTCATCAGTGAGCTAAGAGCAACAGTTCTCAGAGCAGAGGCGATGTCCTGGGAGTAAGGCCATGTGCGGCCTGGACAGCAGGCCCCTGCCTCCCAGAGGTCTTCAGAGGACTATACTGCCCTCCCTCCTGGCCCATAGACAAGCAGGCAAGGGAAGTGTCCATCAACACTGGGATCCCAAGGCTGGGAGAGGGGCCTCGAGCAGCCTGACCTTCCATCAGAACTGCACACACACCTGCGCCTAGCGGTGCTGTCCTTGGGACAGGCATGCCCATGTGCATCACTCCAGAGTCTGTGTGCGGGTGTGTCCCCAGTCTCCTTTCAGCAGTGGCTGGTGGTGGAATGGTGTCTCCCCTGGGGGTCAGAAGTGTGTCTGCCCTCTCCCGAGCCTTTGAACAAGAGCCCAGGACTGCCTCGGGGCATGTGGGGCAGACTGGTACTGCATGTGCCTCCACGAGGGCCAGGCCTGTGACGATTGCACTACATCCCCTCAGCACCTGCCACCCCCTACCCTGTGAGTGTGAAAAACAAAGAGCACTCACCTGATGATCCCTCCCCAGCCTTGGAGGATGGTTGGGAAACATCCAGGCCCTGTGGTACAGGCTCAAGGGTGATGGTGCAGGCCATCTCTTCCAGTTCCTTGTCCTCTTCCTCCTCTTCTTGGGCTAGGACCCCTGGGAGGGGCGATGATGGGCATCTCCATCCCTTTGTCCACCACCATGGATGGGAAAGGGGCTGCACTGCCTCCCAGGATGTGATGCAGTTTTGCATAATAGGGGCAGGCATGGGGTCCTGCCCCAGAGCGAGAGCTACACGCCCTCACCCTGGCGTAGCCCTGCCACAGCTCCTTCACCTTACTCCTGACTTGTTCAAGAGGCCTTGTGTGGCCTTTCATGGCCAGGCTGTTAGCCATCTGGCTGTAGATGGCGTTCCAGGTTCTAGAGCAGAGATCCTGGAGGATGTCGTCTTTCGGCCAGGACTTGACCTGCTGGCTGGCGGGAGAGGGGGGTGGGGGGGCACAACACCCCGGAGGTGGTTTCTGCCTGTTGTGTTCTCCACAACATTGGAGAGAAGAAGGAGGAGGCCTTTCTACTGGGGGGAGGGGGAAAGGTGGGGCAGAAGCCACCCGGGAAGGAAGGGCCTTCGAGCAGCCGCACACAGATGCAATCCCCCAGGTCCATCAGGCTGGGGTGCGCATCCAAGAGGCCCTGAGGGAGAGTTTCTCTCAAGGACCCAGTAACTGTCCCCCACGGCCTCTCCCCTCGGGACCTGTGCCTTTCCCTCCTATACCTTTCCCACAACAACCCTCCCTATCCTGTACAGTCAATAAAGACACCAATTCTGAGTTGAAAAACAAAAACTTTATTTTTTTTATAAGAAAAGGAATTGGGGTGGTGGGGGCTGAGAACCTGGATGGGGCAAGGAGGCGTGAGGGCTCAGGGCTGGGCACTCCCAGTTCCTGCTTCAGGTCCAGGGACCTTGGTACCCCCAGGGGTGGGTGGGGCCTGGTAGAACAGAGTGGTGAGTGGGCGTGGGGGGGGCTGGAGCAGGGTAAGAGAAAGAGCATCTAGACTACAACCGGTACTTTTGAAAAAGCAAGCCACTTTTTCAAAAGAGAGCACCGAGACAGTCTGGATGCTCGCTTTCGAAAAAGCACAGTTTGCAATACATAGTGCCTTTTTTTGAAAGAGCACTTTTGAAAAAAGGCGTTATTCCTCGTAAAACGAGGTTTTCCATAGTTAAAAAACCAGCCATGGTCTTTCGATTTACTTTCAAAAGAACATGGCAGCAGTTTAGATGCAGGGGAAGTTTTTTCAAAAAAAGGCCACTTTTTTGGAAAAAACCCTGTAGTCTAGACACACCCTGGCTACATCTACATTGGCAAGATTTTGCACAAATACTTTTAACGCAAGAGTTTTTGCATTAAAGTATTTGTGCAAGAGAGCGTCTACACTGGCATGTACTTTTGTGCAAGAGATGTGCTTTTGCGCAAAAGCATCCGTGCCGGTGTAGACGCTCTCTTGCGCAAGAAAGCTCCGATGGCCATTTTAGCCATCGAGATTTCTTGCACAAGAAATTCATGTTGCCTGTCTACACTGGCCTCTTGCACAAGAACACTTCTTCAAGAGGGCTTATTCCTGAGCGGGCGCATCATAGTTCTTGCGCAAGAACTCGCGGCCAGTGTAGACAGGCGGCAAGTTTTTGCGCAAAATCTCGCAAATGTAGACACGGCCCCTGAGCGTCCTCCTGGTCCTTCTGGGCCAGGATCCGTTGCAATTCATGTTGCCTGTCTACACTGGCCTCTTGCACAAGAACACTTCTTCAAGAGGGCTTATTCCTGAGCGGGCGCATCATAGTTCTTGCGCAAGAACTCGCGGCCAGTGTAGACAGGCGGCAAGTTTTTGCGCAAAATCTCGCAAATGTAGACACGGCCCCTGAGCGTCCTCCTGGTCCTTCTGGGCCAGGATCCGTTGCATGCCTTGGAGGATGACCACGTGCTGTCTCATCAGGTCCCCCTGGACCCTCCTGCACTTGTAGCTCCCCCAGGGTCAGGCGGCTGCCTCAGCTGGCGGTGATCGCCCATTAGTGATGCTAGTCTGGCTGTGGAGAATAAAGAGGGAGAGGCAGTCACTCATCCATGCAGACACTGTCCCTGAAGCTGTGCCCTCCTTTGTGAGCAGTGAGCAACAGTCCTCAGGCCAGAGCAAGGCCATGTGTGGCCTGCACAATGGAACCTGCTTTCAGTCCTCCCCCGTCCCACGGACAAGCAGGCAAGGGAAGTGTCCATCTACACTGGGCTCCCATGGATGGGAGTGGGGCCTGGAGCAGCCTGGCCTTCCATGGGGTCCGCTTCTACATCTGCTTCTGGCAGTGCTGTCTGTGGAAGTGGGTGGCGTCGTGCATGCAGGCATGCCCATATGCTTTGTGCACATGCCTCGGTCTGTGTGGGATTGTGCATGTGCCCTTGTCCCCAGCCTGCTTCCAACGGTGGCTGGTAGTGGGAGGGTGTCCCCCTGCAGAGCTCAGACGTGTGCATGGTGTCCCCAGAGCCTGTGAGCAGAAGCCCAGTGGAGCTTCGGGGCTGCCTCCTGAGGCCACGCGGCCCAGACTGGCGCAGCACGTGTTTCTACATACACGGAGGGCAGCACAATGTCCAGGCTGAGCAGGCCAAGTGACGATCATACCTCAGCCCCTCTACGCCTGTGAACCCTGGCCCTGTGTGTGTGACAAAGTGAGACCACTCACCTGATGATCCCTCCCTGCCCTCAGAGGATGCCTGCGAGACATCCAGGACCTGGGGTACAGGCTCCAGGATGAGGGTGACCATGCTGGCTGTCTCCTCCTCCTCCAGCAGCTCATCCTTGTCCTCCTTCTCTGCATCCTTGACCCCCCCCACAGGTGACAACGGGCATCGCGAGCCCCAAGTCCACCACGAATGAGGAAAAGGCTGCACCACTCCCAGGATTTGGTAGAACTACTGGTAATAGGGGCAGAGCTATGCTCCCTGATCCTCGCGCAGCCCTGGCAGAGCTCTTTCACTTTGCTCCTCACTTGCTCCAGAGTCCTGGGGGGATGGCCCCTCGTGGCCAGAGCCTCGGCCATTCATCCGTATATGCCCGCATTCCGCCTCCAGGAGTGGAGATCCTGCAGGGTCTCCTCCTTACCCTGCAGCTCCAGGAGGGACAGAATCTCTGCTCTGGACCATGAAGGCACATGCCTTTTTGTGCCCCTGGCTGTGTCCTGGGAGCCCTGGTGGTGCTCCCTGTGAGAGCCAGGGAGGTTTTGGGGGGCTTGTGGCTGGGCTATGTGGTCCAAATGTGAGCAGCAGGGAGAGCTGCACGGACAGGTGCAGCTGTCTGGGCTGGCTTCTTGCCACAAGGCTTGTCAAGGCTTTAAAAGCTGGCCATAGGCAGGAACTGTACAGCTTTGATTAGTTTGGACAGAGTGGCCACCAGGGCATCTGTGTGATTACCTGGAGGCCTCTTTAAAAAAACAAAAACAAAACAACCCCTCCCTTTTCCATGCCCCCACATGCCTTTTTCTGAAAAGAAAGAGGTTTGCCGCTGTTGGAAAAATCTCTCCATTCGACTTTTTTATTGAAAAAAACGCATTAGCAGTGTGAACGCAAGTATTTTTTTCCCATAAAATGCTATCGTGTAGACATACCCTGAAAATTTCATCATTCCCATTACAATAGAAATGCTGATGCCAACTCTAGTATTTAGCCCCACATTCCATTATAATGTGTAGACGAAGAGTGATTATAATAAATTGAGACTTTTTTGGGAAATGTCATAATATGATGTATTAAATGGAAAATTTGGTTTGGCTTTAATACTTGATTGACAGAAAGTGCAAGAATTGGGTTTTCTGCTTCTTTTATGTACTGAAACATTCTTGTTATGAAAAGTGGATAATATCGGGGGGGTAGTGGTACCCCCCACAATATCTTATAGAGGCCACGGTAGGGCCAGCTATGTTCTCCTGTGCAGATAAGCAAAGGGAGAAGATGAGAGTGGAATCCAGAGGAGGACTTTATTCATTTCCAGTGTGTGTAGATATCTGCTGGACATTATATATTATATTGTTACAAAGTACATTATGATCACATGATCAATTCTGGGCAGCTCATTTGCACAGGGACATTCAGGGTGTTCAAACATGAGCAAGCAAATAATCTTCTTTTCTCTTTCATTCACAAGAGTACCAAAACCTATTATTTACCTAGCATTTATCTTTTGACAGAAAATTAGAGAGAACTTATCTGAAATTATTTACTTACCCCATCCTATGACAATGTATCTCTGCAGCAAGAGTCTTGCAGTGAGCACATCAGTCACCAATAATGTGTGGAGATAAATTCCTTCAACTAAAAGCCAAAAATAATTTGCACCAACAAAGTAATGCAAGGAAAGCTGTGAAGTCCTGCAAATGGCTAAAATCTGTAGAAATAAGACATCAGGAAGACTTTAATAATAATAAAAAAACATTACACATTGTACTGCTGTAAAATCTCTGAAAAAATTCTGTTGTTCCTATGTAATATTTTATATCCTTTGAAAAGTAATACAGTTTTGATAAACATTTGGTTTAGTCAGGCACCTTCTAGAGTGCTAGCCTGACATTTCTATTCCTTCCTTGATGAGGTTCCTGTTGTGTGCTACTAGGAATAGATGCAAACCTGTGATGTAATCTACAGCCAAGATCATCTAATCAGAATGGCTGTGTCTACATTGGCACCCTTTTCCGGAAAAGGGATGCTAATGAGACCAGTCGGAATTGCAAATGCCGCGGGGGATTTAAATATCCCCCGCGGCATTTGCATGAACATGGCTGCCGCTTTTTTCCGGCTCGGGGTTTTGCCGGAGAAAAGCGCCAATCTAGACGGGATCTTGTGGAAAATAAACCCTTTTCCGGAAGATCCCTTATTCCTACTTGAAAGATCCCTTATTCCTATTTTCCTATTTTCTTGTGGAAAATAAACCCTTTTCCGGAAGATCCCTTATTCCTACTAGGAATTCTGCAGCAGTGTCATATTTTTAAATGAAGATTTTCATTCAATTTATTATATATTTTGAAGAGTTTGTTTGTTTGTGCAAAATAAAGTCATACTTTGTGATTACGTACAGATACCAAATTTTGTATAAACCACTGCCACTTAAATTAGCTGACTGCACTCCTTTTTACACTGGAATATGCTAGCTAAAAGGTTTAAATAATTTTTATTTTCATTGGAAAAAAATCATGACTTCTATTATTAGTATTCATAAAAGTATTTGCTAACAAAATTAAACTTGAGTCACTTATTCAACTATCATTTTAGTACAAAGAAAAATTGTACTGTTACAAATCAAAATATAATTCAAATTAGAGTTATGGAAGCTTTATAAGTTTCTGATTCAATTTTATTATGTATGATAATTATTCAATAAAATGAATGTTTAAAGTTGAAATCCTAGAAATTTAAAACTGTTCTTTTACTTCCCTTTTGCAAGCACATGTAATAGAATTTGTTATTAAGATTTCATTTCTTGAACTTTCCTATAGGTGAAATCTATACCAGTGTTTCTCAACCAGTGGTACAAGTATCCTTATGGGAACTCAAGAGAAGTCTGAGGGAGTACATCAAAACAACTGAAGTTTGGAGAAAACTGAATTTTTATTTTAAGTTTTCCAGTGTTTTATTATTTTTGTACTTTTTACACCCCAAAATTTCATTGCCCACCCCGCTACGATTAAGTTGTTTAAACAAATGTGTTGCAATGGTAGAAAAAAAATGGTGTGTCTGAACACTGTAAGTACTGGGGGTACTTACAATTTATTTATTTATATATTTCTTTTGAAAAAGGAGTAACTTATAAAAAAAAGTTGAGGAACACTGATCTATGCAAAATGACTTTGCTTGGTCAACGACAGGCCTCACCTGCTAGTTACATATAAAAATGGAATCTGTAGGGGGAAATTAGGTGATAGCTTTCTTAAGAATGTTAAACTGTGGTTAATTGACTAGTTGAGTAGTCGATGGAATTTCCATCAACTAGTCGATAGGTACATCTGCATTCCTCCTTTGAAATGTACAAGAGTTCCTGCTGGGACTCTTGTACATTTCAAAGGAGGAATGTGGAACTCCACATGCAGCTTGGGGCCAGCAGGAAGTCCCCCTGACTCCGGGCTGCACGCAGGAGTGCCTGCTTTGAAATGTACACAAGTCCCCAGTGAGGGCTCTTGTGAAATTCAAAGCCACAGCACCCTCATGGATCCTGTGGTCAGCAGGGGACTCAGAGTCCTCCACTAACCCCAGGCTCCATGCTGCACTGCATGTTGAACAGAGCCTGGGATCAACGGATCTCGGGCTCTATGTGGCATTTCCAGCTGATCCTGGGCTCCACAGCACTGCCCCTTTGTACGCCACTTCAGCATTTCAAAGGGGCAGCACTGTACAGCACAAGGCGGCGTTTCAAAGGAGCAGGTGCCACACATGATCCCGGGCTCAGCTGTGGGGTGCTGCCCCTTTGAAATGTGGAGGCGGCATTTTAAAGGGGCAGCATCAGACAGCTGAGTCAGGGATCAGCTGTGCGGCAGCTGCTCCTTTGAAATGCTGCCTTGGAGTTTCAAAGTGGCAGTGTAACACATCTGATTCCCAGCTCAGCTGTGCAGTGCTGCCGCTTTGAAGTACTCCTTTTTTCCCCTCACCCCCATTGCTGCCTTTATCTGATAGGAGGTAGGGGGGATGGAAATCGACTATTTGACTGACTATCCAATAAGCCTGGTAACACGTTATAGACTAACAAAACATGTTGATGATATCATGAGCTTTCGGGCACAGCCCACTTCTTCAGATAACCAGAGTTATGAGTTTAGGATGTTCATAGAATCATAGAATACTTGGACTGGAAGGGACCTCGAGAGGTCATCAAATCTAGTCCCCTGCCCAAAATAAATAGTACAAGGGAAGGGAAGGGGGGAGAGGAAAAAAGGAGGGGGGGTGGCAGACAGGGAGTTAGAGGGAAGCAATAAGTATCTGAAGATTGGGTAGTTAAAACAAAGCAGATAAGAATCAAAGTCAATTGATAGAATTCTTCCTGACATAGGAGTCTATACAAAGAGCTGTTTGCACTTTCAATGGCTGTTAAATTGGTCCCAACCAACTTTCATCACGATTGAGTCCATTAGCAAGTGAACTGAATTTGCGGATGAACTCTAATTCCAATGTTTCTCTATGTATCTGGCTAGTAGAACTGGTTTGTGACAAGACAGCTACTTGAAGCTCTTTTAAACAGTGATTAGAAACATTGAAGTGTTCCCAATAGGTTTCTATATGTTTCCCTTACGTATATCTGATTTGTGTCCATTGATTCTTTCCTGCAGAGACTGTCCACTTTGTCCAATATATATAGCAGTGGGGCACTGCTGGCATTTGATGGCATAGATCAAATTACTGGATGTGCAGTCAAATGACCTTTTGATTTGGTAGCTTATGTTGTTGGCTCCAGTGATTAATTCACCAGTATAGATATGTGGGCTGAGTTGGCATCATTTTTGGTTGATTCCTGGATGCTTATGATGTGGTTGTGTGGCATGGTTACCGGAAATAATTTGTTTCAGACTGTGGGGTTGTCTGTAAGCAAGAATAGGCTTTTCTCCCAAGGCCTCTGAGAGTGAGGGATCATGTTCTAAGATGGGTTGTAGATTGTGTATAATGTGCTCGAGGGGTCTGAGTTATGGATTATAGGTAATAATAAGCTGAGTTCTGTTATTTTCTCTTTTGGGTCTGTCAGGCTATGTTTACACTACCCCGCTAGTTCGAACTAGCGGGGTAATGTATGCATACCGAACTTGCTAATGAAGCCCGGGATTTGAATTTCCTGGGCTTCATTAGCATAAAGCCGGCTAGTGCGAACCCCGTGCCGCGCGGCTACACGCGGCACGGGCTAGATAGTTCGAACTACGTAGCCATTCTTAACTATCTGTACGCCTCGTTCCACATGTTTTGCTAGTCTATAAAGTGCTACCAGACCTTTTGTTGGTTTTTTTCTGTCTCAAACTAAATCGGCTACTCCTGAAGCTAGTCGACTAGTCCTTAACAGCCTTAATCTTTCTATCAGTGATGGACTGTGTTCCATGGGGTGTTTCTGGCCTGAAAAGAGAGAAGACTTCTTGTACATAAAATGGGAATCAGTGGCCATACTGAAATAAAAGAGTTCTAGTTCTGAATAAGTTATTGGCCATCATAGAAGGCGATGCATTCTTGGACAATCATATTTAGTCTGTATCTCCTCAGATTTAACAAGAAAAGAATTAGCAATTAGGGAACTGGAGAAAGTAAAAACTCAAGACAGCTGGCAATTTATGACCATACAAGGAGAAGGAACCAAGAGGCATTTGGCACACCTGGGAGCAGAAGAGCACATGCAGTCTGATCACTATAGAAAGACATATGCACCACTAGGCATATCCCATTGCTATCAGGTATGCAGCATGGAAGCTGCAGGAAACAGTTCTGAAGATTCTGCTGGGAAAAATGAAGAGAGAACACAGCCAGGAAACACCTAAGGTTAGCAGTTTAGCCCAGTCTATGAGCCAGAGGTATAGCGAGGGTGCTTTGTGCCCGGGAGCAAAGGCAAAATTTGCGCCACTCCCCAACCCTCCCCCCAACCCCCCCGCCACTCCCGAACCTGGCGCATGGCTGAGACCAACACTGGGGAGGGGGGAGCTTCCTCCCACCCCCTTCAGTTTGGGGCTGGACCCCCACATGCACTAACCCACCAGTGGAGATGGAGGAGGGTTGAGCTGGGGGCGAAGAGGCAGGGAGGAGGCTCCAGCTGGCAGCAGCGGGTGGAGGAGCAGCAGGAGAGTGAAGGGGAACTAAATTGGTTCAACCCTAGTGTGGTGACCAGGAGCAACTGCCCCCCCCCATCTCCCTCTCAATGCCACTGTTATGAGCAGGGCTGGCCCAAAGGTTTGTGATACCCTATATGACCTATGACTTTGGTGCCCCTCCCACATTCAATATAGAGAAAAATAAAAATCTACTCTGTATGAGGTGATATAGTAACAACAGTCGGGTAAATTTTAATTTATTTTATCATTTCAACATTCACTTAAAATTATTCAATAAATTAAAAAGAAAGCCAGAATTTTTATTATTATTGATCATTATTGCAATTAGAATGGAAAGGAATATACATGCTAAGTGGTATTTGTTTATATTATTACTCAGGCATTCAAAAATCAGGGCATTACTATTACTTTAACAATAATAATCTACAATATATACTCAATCTTAATCTTACAAGTACTTATGATTCTCCTTTTACGATCTTGTTTAAACCTCTTACTAAATTTTTCAAGTCCCACACAAACACAAATTCTTTGCGGGCATAGTGTCTTCCAAATCACAACTTGTAACTTGACAGAACATCTGATATGGGTCATCTGCCCC